TTGTTGATGGTTGCACTGGAAATCAATACATGGTATAATCAGACGTTTCATTTTAAATATTATATTTTGTTATTTATGTGTATTAAACAAAAAATTATTTTTTTTTGATATACATTAAGGCATTATCTTATGATCATATCAGAAATTGTAACATTAGCCATTTATATTGTTTCTATGGCATTCTTACCGGCTTATTTTGGTAAGAGGTTTAATTATTTAATATAATAATAATTTCATTGTTACACAATCTAATATAATTTTTTTTTTGTCACTCGTGTAGATTTATCGTTTATTCTAACATGGGTTTTTGTTTGGAAAGTAGCAGTTATAACAGCAATTAGTAGTATTCCGTTGTATGTTGTGAAAATTTTAAGGAGGAGATGTGCTCCACCAGTTCACTCTAAAGTAGTAGGCTAGATAAATTAAAAGGTTAAAGGGGTTACATAATTTTTTTTTTTTTTCACCTGTGGGGGAATATGGGAAATCATTGGGTTTATATGTATTATAAACTTTGTTCTTTATACTGTATTAGAAATATACAATTAAAGTCTTTAACCCAAAATTTCCAAGAACTAATTGTAAAACAATTTGTGATGTTAATGTTGTCGGTCAGTTTAGAATTTATATCATATCGATATTAAATATTTAAAGCTAGGTTTTGTAATCATGCAGTTTATTACCAACGCACTGTTATATTCGAATTTCTATAAACATATATCAATAAAATCTATCACAATCAAAAGTTGTCTCAAAAAAAAATCTTGATGCAATGGTTCATATGTTATATCCGAAGAGTTGCCATATACTGTATTTAGTAAACTCACTTCTATTAATTCATTTTGATCCGCATTCTTTAGTATTAAGTCGCACCAATGGCGTTGTGTTTAGGATTGAAATCAAAAGTGCATCTTAGAACAATTAAACATTAATTATTTGGCTAATTTTTGAGGTACAGTATAGAGACTGTTAATATCGTGACTGAGGTTAGGAACGTGTCAGATATTAGCTGAGATCAGTTTACTATAGAGCTCACTCCCTCTACCCTCTCCCCTCTTGAGAAATTTAGTCATTCTGATTGGTTATATGTATATTTAGACCTGAGACTTTGCTTACCTCCCTCCCACCCTATGATATCAGCTGATATCTGACACTTCCTTTATCATCTGCCTGGAGTTGTCAACTGACGTTTGGAATTACTACTTAATGCATACAAAAAGATCTAATTTCAAGAACCTAGATGAGTGACCGCAACTTAAGTATGCTAAAATAGCAATTCCAGACAGATAACAGCTACATACAGCCACGGCATTAACAAATTAATGCCATTTCTTTCCTTATACACGTCTATATTTATACTTCAGTGTAACAATTATATTTACGCGTTTGTCATGTACAATAACCATATGATGGTCACCAGAGTGTCCAGCTATTTCTAGCATCTAAAATAGCACTAGTGATATTACGACAACCACATAATCAAATTCAACTGGAATTGTTTACTTTAATTCTATGTGTTTATAGAATACAAATTTAGTTTGGTTGTTTTCGTGATATCGCTAGTGCTATCTCAGTATTTTAGATGCTAGAAATAGCTGGACACTCTAATGGAGGTATTACCTAAAGTAGTATGGTATGAGGTATAATATACGTTGCGTAGTATATTAAAAACTAAAAAAGCGTATGACGTATATATACGTATACTAAAATGTGGATATACTAACTTGAAATACAGAAATATATAATTATTTGTTCGGAGCTATCATATGATTATTGTATATCACGTGCATATGCAGACATTTATTATACTCTACAATTACATATTTAATACGCATATATTTAATAAATTGACATCGCAAATATTAATTTAATGCAAATACAATATTAAATACAATCTTTTTATTGTCATTAATCTTGCCCAAGTCCATGTTCACGCTCTTTAATTGTATTGGCGATTCGCAATTCTCTTAGTTTTTCCTTTCTTTCTTCAATTAAAAGCATACGTTCTTCATATTCCAACCTTTCCATTGGTGTCATCAATAG